ATCAGTGCTAGATTATATGATAAGAATAATGACAACAATAATAGATCATTTTCGCTCCAGAATCATGAGGTTAGAAAGAAAAAAAGCATAATTTGACCATCTGGCACCGGTCATGATTGACACAATCAAGAAAACAGGAATACAGGAACACGGGTTCAGTAAACAAATTAAATAAAACATAAATACGCTTCTTCTGAACAAGTGTCACCAGCCGTGGTCTTCGTATCAGAACCATTTTCCATCTAACACACACACACACACCAATGATCCTTTGAGTTCTTAAATTCTAGAAAATCAAACTGAAAAAGACCGTCCAAGATTGAAACGTTGTCAATGAAACATGTGTTTTGTTTTTACTTCTTATGGCTCCGTACAAATCCCATACTTCCATTTAATAATGGGCAGAAAGCATAATTATCTCAATAAAATCACACACNAAGCAGCATTGAATTACTGTGGTAATCCTAACCGCAGTGCGATGCGTTACAGTTTCTGGGCCAGGAACCATAAGCTAATAGTACCAACCAATCAGTAGTCTTGCGGTTCAAACGGAAGCTGTGTGATATCCAGAGTGCATGTAGGCTATTGGTGAGGACCTGTTTCAACCAATGGCGTTTCTTTTTACATATTATTTAATCCCAATGATTTTCCTCAAAAAACATAACCGCTTCTTCCGTGTCTTTTTCCTGCGTTTCGGAGACGGGAGATTCCAGCCAACGGCAGCTGGTGCTATGTTTTTGTTCATTTGCGATTGTGATTGTGATCCGTGATGCGTCCATATTCCATCTACTGCAGTTACATAATGTTTTTGTAATAATAATGAGATTTTTTACATTCTCACTCTTGAACACTATGCCAGAATTAACTTAGAAGAGGAAAGGGAGGCGGTAACTGGCCAGGCGCTGAGTGGAGGCAGAAACGGAAACGCTGATCGCTCAGGGCAAAATTGGACTAGATGAAAGACCTCTGGGTAACTGTAATGAAAAACTTACCCGCTTGAACGTTATTGTCATGAGACAAACGATAAATCATTTTAATTTTTAATTTGTTTAACCAGGTCATGGATCGTAAACTGTTCACTCTGTATTCGTTCATGGAACAGATGCAACCCAAATACATTGAACGGCTTCGATCTTTTGTGGCAATCCAAAGCGTATCCGAACAACAGGAACATCGACTGGACGTGGTGCGTGCACTCCGGTGGACGGCATGGCGGTTGAAAAAGTGAGATTTTTCTTCCGCTATATGTGATCCGGTGCCAGTTTTACTTCTGTTTACTTCACCGACGTATTGTTAGTTTTTAGTTTGTTTTGTAGTTAACATATACGCACATGTTTTAGAAGAAAAAACTGGCAGACAACGGCCATTGCTGTGTTTCAATCACTGAAATGATACAGTGACCAAGGTATTACACCTCTCTCCCTCCAGATTTTCGGTTCATCTCCACTCCCACATGCACACTCATCACGAATTTTGAGAATGGAAAGCCTAAATTATCTTTCACTTTAAAGGAATTATATTGAGAAAGGAGAATTTTGAGCGCGACGAAAGTATCGCAACCCACCCCACCCCTAAATATAACCCACTGAAGCGCAGTGGCCATTACTATTCAGAACTTCTCCATGCCTTTTCAGAACGTATAACATTGGGTTCTTTTTGAAGAAGATAGCCCCGAAAGTATCCCATACCATTGTGGAGTGTCTATCGTTCATCCACTTACTGAAGCACAGTTTCATCACGTGAAAGTGCAAATGAGTATTGTGTTTCCAGTTTAGTGCATCCCGCTTTATAAAGACGTGTAGACGACCAAATGATCACCTATTATCGAAATGAACTGAAATAAAACTACGTTTATCAGTTTTGCCAATCTCTTTTTAAACAGCTTGAAAACACCACGAGAGAGGAGCAGAAATTAGTGAAGAACATGAATTACGAATTAGGAATTAGGGAGCTACTTGAACCAGATAAAGAGTGAGACGAGGTTTGGAATGATTACAACAATCAAAGTTTTATTATGGGGCATGCTTGCAGGTTGTTCTACTTGTTTTCCATCAGTAGCACGACTAAATTGATTAACCGAGCACGAAGAGCTGAGGAATATCACTTGGTTTCACCAAACCAAAACCAGCACACAAAAGTGCGGGGTGAATGGTTGTACAAACTGAAACTGAGACTGAAAGATGGTTTCACTGTTTCATATACAGTCGTAGATATCGAAAAATCATTCATGTCAATGATTCATCCAGTTTCTCACTGAACTAATCTATTGTAAACAGAACAACGACGTGAGCTGATAAGGAATGTCAAGTACTGCTCAAGCCGAGGGCAAACGAATGTCAGTCAATACTGCAGTGGACACGTTTGTCGCACTAACATGAATAGATGCTCCCTGAGATGGAGGTGGGATAACATGAATGACCAGAGTTGTGCTGTATTTATTAAACCAAAATCATTTCTCCTCCATTCCGACTATACTGAGTGCAGCACAACCCCACATGGGTATTTTCATCCCCTTCTTTTGATCGCCAAGTCAACATGTTTTCGAGCTGCGGATGGTGCCCTGGGGCAGTTTTTCGCACAGCTTATGACGTCATGGTTTTTCCACAGCTTTGTCTATCTCACTTTTCTGATAACATTATCTTCCGTTTCTGGTCCTTTTCATCTATTTGATTGTCTCATAAATTGGATCATTGTTTTAACCCACCTAATGGTTATCCGCTCACTAACGTTGTGATCTAGCTCCGTAATTTACTGTCATCTGTGTCGTCCTGAAATCGGGGCTTAAAACGACATTGTCAATCACCAAAATTATATATACATATATATATATATATCATAGAAATGAAGTGTTAACTGTCGATCAACTGATTCTTCCTGTGTGTTGGAAATTTATTCACTCAAAGCCGAGGTACTGCTATTCGTATGGAAGGTGATATAGGTCATCTTGAGCGAAAAATGCATTAGATAGAGTGCCACACTAATTGGAGTGCGGAATAAAACAGCGATGTTCCTCCACGAACAAATGTACCGTTGAGGTGGCCCGAATACTACTGCGAAAGCTGCTGGAACGACGTTAGAAAGAAGTCAAAAGTTTTGAATATTCACACGTTTCTGGTTTCGGATTCGGGATGACATGAGGCACATATAAGCTGATAGAAATTTCCACGTACTGGCTGCTGGTGAATGACAATACCTCAACGGAATCACGGAATCATGTCTCATTAAGGCCATTCATTGGGTTTAAATCTTTTTTTGAACATGTGGTTTATCAACATCAGACTGTTTTGCGACAGAAAACGAATTTTTCATACTGTTTTGACTGTAATCCTCTGTGAATGGAAAATATTCAAGATGAATTTCTTGAAAAAGGGGGTAAGCTGCAGGCTATTTAGTATTTGATCAGAAGATCAACTTTCTGCATAGATAAATTAGTGCGATCGTTGGAAGATAGTTGGCAACCTTTAAAGTGTTTTACACACTATTCAAAAACAAATGCACACACAGTGTGTGTGCGTTTGTGTATGTGATATACTTTTCAAATGGATTGAAATCGGTTGGATCTTGCTCATCATGACTGTTTGATAGTTGATTTCCCTTCATGTGGGATTATATATATGGTAAGAAGAATACACAGTAATGATCAAACTCGTGTGCGGTGATTTTTCTACAGGTCAATACATCACAATTTATGTCAAAATGTTTAGTAAGGGGGAGAAAACATGACAAAATGGAAAGAGAAATAATCAACATTCCAGCTCCATAACTGGATGTTGCCCACACTGTGATCATCACACATACATTGGTTTGGGTCATTAGGGGCGGGTTGGTGGATGACTGTGTCGTGTCTGTTGACCAAGGAAGATCGATTGTTCTTGTTTTGGGAATCATAAGGGGAAATTAGTTAGGCGGATTTCGATCGCTTCGCTGTATCATTATATTATTATGTTTCACACTTGTCTGAGGACAGACTGTGTGTCAGGCAAATCATGGTACAATAATCTTTATAAAAAATTAAAGCATTCCATGATTGGCTAGTGGGCTAAATACTGCCAGGTTGCCCAGGCCAAAGCAGGTGAATTTTCTTGAGGAATCCACAACCAGAGCCTTCGGTTAGCCGAAGCCTGATCCGCAAGTCAACGGGGCGGTGTGTGAAAACCGCAGTCCATTAGGAGCCGATGTCCGGTTCATCGGATCATTCGCCACTTGGACGGGGTCAAACGTCCAAGGTGCCCAATACATCTCAATGCCTAATCGAACCGGTGACCACTGCCACAACTGAAAAGATGTGGGTTTGGTTCGCACGCTTAGCTGTGGCCAGATTGCAAATCCTAAAGACCTTTGATAGGCCGCAGCGAACTGCCTAGATGGGTCGAAACGTTTCGGCCACATCAATCTCTTGGTTTCACTCCACTAGGTGTGAAGTGATCGACCTATTGGCAGTCCTAATCAGCCCTTTATTGATCCAGGTCGGGTGGTGCTCGCGGACTCCTTTCGATAAAAGTCTTTCCGTGGAACCAATATAACTTGTTCCACAGCAACTAGGAAAAAGGTACACACAAAAAGAGACTGGAGGAACAGGCAATTTGTCTTTGAGTTGAAAGCTCCAAAGTGGTCTGGAGATGAACACAATGGGAGGTTTTGCTGCGAGGAATGCTTTTTTCACCGTTACACTTCGTTTACATATCACGATTTCGGCACTTGTATCACCTTTAAGAGGCAATGAAATGTAAATCGGTTTCTCATGTAGATGGCCCGATAATAGTGTTCATGTCTAGGCAGTCACAAAAATCTACGATTTATTATCGAATCAGATTTTAAAGCAAAGTCTTTTGAAAGTATGAGAATAAAGGGAAAATTTGATTTCATAATATGATAAAATAATTGTGCGAATGAAGCGTGAGCCGAAATGCTATATCCGGTGGCCTAGCTGGTACTATGCTTGAATTCTACCTTTGAGGTCCCGTGTTCGATCCTTAGGTGGGTCGATGGGTTCACAGCTAATGAGATTGAGTCCTTCTGGGCTTCATTCACGCAAAAAAATTTATTCTTTAAGTATTTGTCCCTTCACTTTCCTGATTCTTATTCCAGCCATAATTGTTGTGGCTTTTATTTCCGATTTCACTTGCAGGCTCGGAGCCGACGTCCGATTTCGACGTATCGGAAAAGAAACAATCTATACAGGTGATCATATCCCTCTGGTTGCCACGGACGAACTGGAATTGCCAGATGTTGTTGTCGCGTCGATCGGTGATGATGTAACAAAACGGACTTTGTTGATTTACGGCCACGTAGATGTGAAACCGGTCTACGAGGGTGAGAAATGGACTCACGATCCGTTCGATATGCAAGTGCACGGTGACTATCTGTCTGGTCGTGGTGTGACCGATGACAAAGGACCCCTGCTAGGTTGGCTGAATGCTGTCGAAGCATTTGTGGTATGTGTTTATGGGACGTACGATTTTCGAGGAGTGCTGAATTATGCTACGGTACCTCACTGATTCCACCCGTAATACCATTACTACAACTACTACTACTATACTTAGTGTCATACTAGTGGAGGAATTCGCAAACTAGCATTTGATTACAATTTGGACGCTTTGATACAGTGGTGCAAACATTAAATTATATCTAGACTCTCTGAAGCGTTGGTAATCAGTCGCATTGCACGGCAAGGTATGTTGTACCAGTCTTTTTCGACTGTCGCGTTATGCACAATGTGTTGGAACTCCACGGGACAATATTTGGCTCCGTATGTGTCATAGCAGATTAGATATATTATATATACTATATACTATTTATATATACTACACAGGGTATAAAAAGAACAAATCTGCTGAATGGAGGGGGAATAAAATTGACTACGCGAGAATAGTCCAATAAATGTGTTTAAAGGCTGTATGAAGCACCACCAGATTTCAATCACTGGTCAGTAAAGCATTTCTGGATAACTAGTTACGAAAAAGAAAGATGGATCCATATAAATGCTGACATAAGTGTTTCTACTACTTGCGTTGCACGTGAGTGGCACTTTTGACTAGTCCTGAACGAAACAGTCTGCGGCTTGTCATAATGTCTCAAAGTAGAATGATGTGGTCCATGTGGAACTGCAAGATACAAAAACATGACGTTGGATTGCTTAATATGCAGTACAGAGTCCTCATGAAGACGTTACTACTCTGATTCCAATTGTATGTTTGACTAAAGGTAACCAGATTTCAACTCTAAGTATGTTTTCCTTACAATAACCGAACCCTTAAGTCCGCTACAGAAAGCGGTTTACATGAGTTGATCTCTTTAATTTTCTGTCAAAACAGTACATGCATTTGATTTATAGAACCAACTCGGTCCTTGTATGAAAATAACTGCATTGAAATGCTCCCAGAGGGGGTTATTAATCTGATTTTGAGTGTGCAAACGATGTTTTAGTGACAATATTAGATCCAACTAAGACGCCAACTTTCTGGATCATTTGAGCGATATCGTACACCATCATGACAAGGCTGCACTTTGAGCGGTGTAATGGCTTCTGACCCCCTCCGACCCAACGAGCTACACAGAGTGGTTTTTGTCAGATCTAACTATGCCTGGAAGGTCGAAGGGTAGAGGTCAGTCTAAGTTCAGTCTCCTGATCCTCCAGGTTGGTGGTTCGACTGGAATTGGCGTTACAGTCGGTACGAATGATGGAGCAGTAATCGATCCAAGTAAATGGGCCTCTACTATGCTTCACCCGCTGCCTTGCGTTTAGGTTCTTGTCAGAACTAAAGGCTTTGGTTGGGAACCCTAATCATTCTCCTGCTTAATGGCTGGATACTCTAGCAGTTCCCGTCCATCAAACTCTAGTGCATACACAAACAAAAAATAATTCCCTACTGCAACAGTCGTCGCGCTAGATAATCAGGACCGCGTTGCCCATTGCATCGAGCAGGAGTGGGCTCAGAATTCACAACCTTTGTTTAACTCTTTGTCTTCCGTACCCAACACTCTCCCTTTTCCTCTTCTTACAACCCGTAAAATTCCCTCATGCAACTTGTTCGTCACTTTCCAAAGTTCGACGCCAAGTTCTAAGCCTCGTCAAACACTGAATCTGGGGTTCTTCAACATGAGAACTCTGATGCACGTAGGTCAAGAAGCGTGTCTGGCGCGTACAATAGACTCGTTTGGGATCGATGTATGCTGCGTATCGGAGACTCGAATCCAGGATCCTAGTGTTATAAATCCACAAGGTGGTGAGCAGTGAAGGATAGTAGTTTATTGAGGATTACAGATGGGACATCTACAATTTGGTATAAATAACAGAAATCTCATCGGAAACATACCCTCGCAGTTCCTGGCAGCACGCCGGGTATTCAGTGTAGCAATCGGTATTTATCCTTCAAGACCCGGCAATCTGTCCTTGGTAGTCTTATTAATTTTTGATCGTCGAAAGAAATCACCAACTATTTTGCATACTACTCACAAATGCGAACAGTACCTCTCAACATTAGTACTATAAGCCACTTAAGTGCACCTGGAGTTGTCTTCGAGGTTCTTCCTCCGCACGTCAGGTGATGAGGAAGCCCGTTCATTAGTGGGCGTTGTACTCAGAAATACAGCCGAAGCCGCACTACTCCATTGGATCTCCGTAAACGGTCGCTTATGTGCGATGCGGCACCGGGGACCGATCAGCTTCCGGAAGGGAAGTAACACCAAATGGTGTTTGTTCACCATTTCAATGTATGCACCAATCAACTATAGTTCTGACGCACAAAAGGACGAGTTTTATGATTAACTCACCGAACTCATTTTGTTCCGCCGAGGTTCCGATATACAGGTGATTTTGGCGAAAGTTGGAAAACTGAGCGCATCGGAAGCTTGCCTAGGCGGTCGTTGTGCTCTACCTAGCCGATGAATAGATAATGACCACCGACTTCTTCAGTTCCGCACAGATCATCATCTGTTCCTATCCACTGACTTCCGTCAGAGCTCTATACGGAAAGCAACGTAGCGTTCACATTCATCTGGCACGCTAACGTAGATCGACCACATAGCAGCAAGCTACCGTTGGCATGGCTCAGTACAAAACTGCATGTCCTATTGGACCACCCGCTTTGAATCTGATCATGCGTTAGTTTTGATGCAGTTCACTCTCCAACTCGCTGGTCGCAGAAAATTCCACGCAACTCGATTGGCAGATGATCGCTTATCTGACCCAGCCGTTCGTGCCCGTTTTAAATCAGAACTAGAGCAGGAGGTAAACGCTGCGGGGTTGTAGTGTAGATAAACAATGGAATCAGATTAGACAAG